AGTTTAGAAAGACTTTGCGCTATCCAGGAATTGCCACATCACCCCAAGATAGAAAGAATATGTTTGCATTAACCCAGTAGATTCAGGTTCTGTCTATGAGTGAATGAGGACTGCACACATGTTTAGGCCTCAGATAATTTGAGGATATTTTCTAAGTTATCAGTTAAGGGGAGGCAAGGAAGGACTTGCACGACACCTTCCCATTTAAAGATTTGTAATCATTATCTTGAATTCAGCTACTATAAATAGAAGACTGCCCCTCTCATTTTTGAGATTCTGATTCTGATTCCAATCTCTATTTTCATAGCAAAGACAACTTACGAAAAAGAGACTGACTTGATATTCTCTCTAAATACTCAGTTATTGTACCTCTGCTCGATATTCGCTATATGCGACCTCTTGTAAACTCTCATAAATAAAAGAAACAGTGAACGTAAGAATCTCTTTAAGCATCTGAATCACTATAAAAATCTTCTCTCTCATTTATTATTCTATCTTTGCATTCAATATTATTGTTTAATCTTATCCTGACTCTTGAATCAATTATATCACATGTAATTTCTAAGAACAGTTAAACACTTTACACGAGCGAGTCGTTGGTGTTATATCACACATCAACACTGGTTAAGTATAGTACAGCATGATTATCGAGGGTATAAGAGCTTCGGTCCATTAGCTACCTAACGTTGACTTAAGTGCGATAATAATGCTTCCCACATTAATTTGTTAAAACATTATTATATATGTCTTCACTTATAAGAGTTTAGACAATACCATTCTTTTAATTACAAAAAGTTTTAGGTATAGAAGATGTCTTTGAATTCACCTAACATAATCCATAAAGAATGTATATATGCCGGTGAATGTATCAAGTAATCTCTCAAATGGGGAGGTAGAGATTTTATTATTTTGTGATAGCAATCCACTAACTTCTCTCTGCTATCTATAATTTGAACAACTAACATAATCTTCTAATAAATATATAATTAACTTAAACAATCTATTAATTTAAGGCGCACACCACCTATAAATAATAATTAAAAAACCAGTCCTCATCATGCATCCCACAAAACGCTAATTTGCAGTCAAATTAAGATTGTTAAAATGTCTCATTCTACCAAACAAAGCTACGTATTCATATTCCTCACCGTCGAACAAACAATTGTTGGCAGTCCAAGCACCTTCATTTCATACATTCTACGGAATCAGTAATTTATTGTTGCAAAGTTTTAATGTTCTCGTCCCAGTTTAACCCTTTCTCATTGCTTAATCTGCGGGCTTCATTTTAGTGATGAATTTGGAGTTAGTTAATTACATAACATCAATGTGAAATAATAATGACAGCAGTCAATGGGAATGTCCCTTTCTTAATTATTTTAGAATCTATAAAATCACTTCATACGTGAGAAGCAATAAATCACAGGAGAATGCACCCCAACCTTCTCCTGTTATCCACAAAATGGTATCCCAATCTTGATTCGCCGTCCAATAATTATTAAGTAGTAGCTACTTGAGATACACATACGATTCAAAAAGATTCCAAAGGTTTCAAATCGGGTACTCGCTACAGATTCCAACAGGGTACCGTTTCAGCGTTCTTTTCCAGATTCCAGTTCCTCCACACAAACAAACTAGAATTGGAACAGCACAGTGTCGGTTCTAATAAATGGACCGAAACCTACCCATACAGTGCCCATTCCGGGTAGATTCTAGTTCTGATTCTGGTTCCACCCGCAGGAGTTCTAGTCTACCCGTTACTTGTGCTCACTCCTAGTTATAGAGTTGTGTTTTGGCCCTGAGAATCATAGTTGTTTTGATACCAATGTAGGTTTTTTAGAGAGTTGAAGAGGGTTGTTACTAATGCATTCAAAAGCTTAATTACACTACCCCAAAGTAGCTCATATAACGCCTAAAATGTCACGTTACACAACTTTTGCAGGATATTTTAACAACTTCAAACCAAAGCCATACAATTCACCTAAGCCCAGTACTTAAAAACTATACAAACGCCATACCTGGCTGTATACACCTAAAACATCACATTACAATTAAAAAAAATCTAACAGCTCCATCTTCAAATTCAGCCCTGCAAACTTCAAACTTGGCACCAAAATCCTGCAAACCGACAGCCTATCTTCATGTTTTCAGTAAAACATTACTGCTATCAACAATCTCGGTCCAAATAGATGATGGATAATCAGCCTTATGTCGGCAATTAGCTGCATTAGGCAATTTTGAATAGAAAATAATGGATCCCTAAAACTCCCCGAGTACACTAAAAGTCAGCGTTCTAGACCATTACTCTCCAATGGAGATTAGTAGGAAACTAATATATTCATGTTCACTGACATCGTACCGTCTATATATATAACTTCTCACATTAGTGAGAAGTCAAATTCCTTATTAACAACAGATGGTCTTGGTGGATTGAGAATCAATATGTTGCTATTCTAGAATCTGTCTAGATATGAATAATCGACATTAATCAAGAAAAGGGATGTTGAATTAGGGAGAGACGTTGGCCTTAAACGCTGTGTGAGAAATGCCAAGCATTGATCTTCAAAGACAATTCGCTCTATGAAGACTTCTGGTAATTATAGTTCATGTCCGTTACACAGAGCTACAGTAATAAATAAAGGATGGCGATAAAAAAGCGTCGACTTGTGATCAATTCTCATAAAAAGACCCCACTCTTACCAGTAGAGGTAAAATTGCTAAATGGCAAGAATTGGGGTAACAAGGGAAGCAGTGAGGTTTCAAATTTGCTGAACTTGTGAACTCTGTGAGTGTGGAGCTGGCTTGGCCCAGTTGTTTTTATTCCTGAAAATGCAGTGTTTAACCAAGTTTGAGAACTAGCGGTTTCATAATCAAGATTTCAAATGCTCTGGAGTGTGTAAGGTCAAGCAGAATATAGCTAATGCTCTATCACAATCCTACCCCTTGAGATCTTTATCTCAACTTTCCTGAAGTAAATAACTAAATATATTATTATTCAATCAAATATACTATTTTATTCAAAAATGATTCTTTTAATAATATTAAAACACTTTTAATTGGATCTTAATTCCAATTATATAATTAATTAATCAAAACTTTAATATTAATATATTAAAGTTTTTAATATGGTGTAATTTATATGTAATAAGTATCATTGTACAATATATTTATTTAATTAGGTTACTCTAAAATTTTAACTTTTTCTATTTTAAATTTTTTATATGTAAAATAATGAAACCCCCCATTATTCACAAATATTTCATTGGAGCCCAGGTTCCAAAATAGGTTCCAAAACAGGTTCCAAATAGGTTCCAAATTGGGTACCCGCTATAGGTTCTAAGCAGGTTCCAAATCGGGTACCCATTTTAGGTTCTTTTTCTAGGTTCCGGTTCCGATTCCGGTTCCTCCACACATAAGAATCGAAACTGGAACTGCATAGTATCGGTTCCAATAAAATGGAACTAGAACCTACCCGCATAGTGCCGGTTCCGGGTAGATTCCGATTCCGGTTCCGGTTCTACCCACTACCCATGCTCACCCATTGTTGTGACTATGGTTTAATTATAAGAAAAGATATGGTAAAATTTGCAAAATACACGAGCATTTTGGACACCAGATAACAAAACGTTTTCTAATAAACTTGATAAGTACATCTGAGAAAAGTTTCAAATATTTTTTCACCAAAAGTTTGTAAAATTGCAAACTGGATATAACATGTCAACAAATTGAGTTATTGTAAGTTATAACCCAACATCAGAAATTGAGTCTCATTTCTTTCCTTAATTTACTCAAGAAAATTATGAGTGCTAATGCAACCATTCATTAACGTAGCAAGGAAAATCCAACTAAAAATGACATTTTCTCTCCAACTTACATGGGCACACCAGGTTTGAAATCGTAGACGAAGGAAGGGATTCCTGCATAAATCAAATCCAGAATTTTGTATCAACTTAAGGAAGAAGCAGCTGCTAATGCTTCTGTCGTCAGAATTCTACTGGTAGACAGAAGAAATCTCCAAAATTATCTCATCAACATGCTTTAAGAGGCTAATTATTCATTATTGTATGCTACCTAGTTCTAACTTGACAACAATGGGAAATATCAATACAGAAGGAATGGACCATTCGAGCATTACCTCATTCTTATCTAATAATCATCTTGTTTATCAAGGTCTTAAGTTAAGTCGGTATTAATACATTTCCTGCAAGGCAAAAGCTTCATCATATTGCAGTTTTCCTGTCATAGAAAATACAATAGCACAAATCATGCACTTGGAAACGCCTAAAGAGTGAACAAATCACACTTGGAAAGGAAAATGTATAATTCTGCTGAACAAGACAAGAAATTGAATTTGCTTTCAATAACATCAAAGTAAAGCCACCCTCATGTATTCAAGTCAAAACTATTAGCGAGAGCTAGTTTTGTACATAATGGATGATCATGTAACAGGATTCAATCCGTTAATTAAACCCTCAAATAACCTGTGAAGCACTCTATTTAGAACACGACTCACAATTGCTGGTCCAAACCTAGTAGAAGATTTGTAAATCCTTCAGAGGAAATATCTAATCAATAAGTTTCCAAGTATAGTCAACATTCATCAAAAAACAAAATAATAAAATAAATGAATAAATCCCCCATTCCTGAGTCTCAAGAAAGGACCAGTAAATGAAGCCATTCTCAATAAATATGTTTTGCGAAAAACACCACTGAATTCAACTGATTAAAATAAGTGAAAAAAAAATGTATTTCAAATCCCAGAAATAGCAAGCAAGAAAACATCACTTTCAAGTTTTACTTCCTCATTTGTGAGTTAAGATCCATGCTCGAATGTCCGATGGGGAAAAGGAGGAAAAAACAAATAATAACATCACAGTTTCAGTCGAACATTAACCAAGATGAGGGTGGCATTTAAATCTCATTAAAATGTCTTTAAAATAAGGATATTTCTAAATTTTCAAGAAAATAAACTAATTTTGGTTTCTTTTTGCCAAAAAATAATAAGACCATTCAAACCATCAAGTTTTGCATTTCAAAGCAATATTAGAAAATAAACGCCAGCTGCATTCATGTTTATCCTGCTAATAGATTACAAACTCTTTTTTCCCAATTCCAACAACTTGGTATCTACATATGGAAAAACTGATGTTAAACTGTCATATTCCAAAATCTTTATAATATGTCACAACAACATTGGACAAAATCCTGAAGACCAAAATAAACCTGCACTTAAGAACAAATAAAGAAGTTTTGATTGAATTGACAACCTTACAACTGATAAACTGAGATGCCACATTGGACTAGTCAACAGCCATGGCTTCTGAGCCCACACTAGCGTCCTCTAACCCACTCTTCTGCTCTTCAGCCATTCTCATCTCCTCTATCAAATTCTTCTGCTCTTCTTCTATAGTATTCTGCAACTCATCCACCTGCAGAAAAGTTATAACAATACCAGTAAAAATTGTGAGCACTGATTATATAGGTCAACATATCATATCGAATAAGTCACCAAATGAAGATCCAGCATACTACAACTTAATTGTCATGTTGATACAAACAAGGGGCAAATGCTTATTACCCAGAAGAAATGCAACAATAAGGGATGTAAAACTTCCTTTTTTNCCACCTGCAGAAAAGTTATAACAATACCAGTAAAAATTGTGAGCACTGATTATATAGGTCAACATATCATATCGAATAAGTCACCAAATGAAGATCCAGCATACTACAACTTAATTGTCATGTTGATACAAACAAGGGGCAAATGCTTATTACCCAGAAGAAATGCAACAATAAGGGATGTAAAACTTCCTTTTTTTTCTATCCCAATAGAAACAAAAAGAAATTCTATAAAGGATCACAAGATGAAGAGTTAAAAATTAAGATGAACTAGCAGCGCACCAAACCTCAAAAACATCTAAAGAAATTGAAAATCTTGAAGTTCACTTGAAACCAAATCCCATAAAAATACCCAAAAACGAACCGTATCACAAATATTTGCTTCATTTCCAACCAAAATGACCCAAATGATTACAATCAGAACACAAATCAAAGATACAATAGCTTTTTCCTTCTTCCTCCAGATGCACAATATCTTTCAATATGAAACAGAACACAAGAGACAGGAATCAACCATTTCAAAATAATCTATGTAAAAGATTTAATTCATCTCAAAGGAAAAAAGAAATGAAGAAAAGCATGATCAATATTCTCATCTTATGTTATATTACATTTTATAATATAACACACCAGCGACACAGCAAATAAACAGTAGCCTTCCTTTTTGAAGTCAAATCATAAGTTTTAATCCTTCCATAAGAAATGGTGAATGCAAGAACTTTTACTATGCAAGGTACCTTAGGGTGTAGATACAGTAAACAAAAAATTTACAGAGAAAGAACATGCAGGAAGAAAAGGGAGAAAAAAGAAAAAATTGGAGAGGTTGAGAGGAAACTTGTGGGGACAAAACTCAACATCTCACCATCAACTCATGCTCAAGGCTTAGTTTCAAAGTAGAATACTGTTACACATATAGTAGCCAACATATGAAACCCTAATGCTACAACAAAGGGCAATAAAATAACCCTTCAGTAAAATAAGTACAACCACAAAAGAAAATAGAAACAAACATTAGGTAAAATAGGATAATAACTCTAAACATGAAAATCATCAGGGAGGTCTGAAAAATGGAATGAAAAGAGTGAGACCAAGAAAAGGATTAAAAAATATAATAAAAAAGAAAATTGAAGTTGAGAAATATGTAAGTTACAAATTCACTATATGAAATAAAGCACATACCACTTGCAATAAGAGAGCAAACTGTTTCTTGCGAAGCTCCAGCAACCTAGAACCTGCTGTATTCTCTGCCTCTAATGCTGCAATCTCTTTCTCCAGGTCTGTAATTATCTTCTGTGTCTCTGATCTTGGTGGCTGCAAAGCAATCAATTTCCTAATTGCCTCGCACTCCTCCTTGTGCTGTCTTTCAATCTTACTCTCTTCAAGTTGTTTCTTTAGATCTTCTATGTCAGCCTCCGCCTGTGCTATCTGCCTGTTTATCTCTTCTTTCAGTTCATTAAAATTCTCTTTTTCTCTTATGTTTGCATCAATAACGGCTTTGCTTTTGAGAAGTGGAATCTCAAAAGTGGACAACTCCTGTAAGAAAGCTTTGGAAAGTTTTGCACAGTCTTTATAGTTATCTTCATCCTTCTCTATCTCAAGAACAAATGAGGTGAACTTCTTCTGAAGTTTCTTCAACGGGGGTTCACCCCTTGTGGTGGTCGTTCGGGTTAGAAGTCTGTGCTTTATTATTACGTCATCCTCATGTGGGCCAAATGCATAGTTCACTGGCGCTGCTTCTCCCCTGACAGGAACCTTCCTTCCTTTTGCTAACATCTAAGCTACTTATTGTTATTTAAATCCTGCAAAATATATGTACAAGCAAATTTACATATGTCACACATATCTAAAATAGCTGGCTGTATTAGCAAGTGATTATCCTTGACAAACACAATCCATACCGATTAAGCAATAAACTTTATATAGGAATTATAAGTGGCTCTGGAATATTCAAATGGCTTATCTTGAAGCAGAACAAAGCCCAAAAAAAGACATTATTCAAATACTCTTTCATATTACCAGAATTTAAATACTTGAACATTTGTCCATTCAGTAATAAAATTATGCACTGCATTGATTGTTCAACTTTTAAACTGCTCAATCATAAAAGAATTTATCGTATTAGAGGATACCAAGTATACACAAAAAAACAAATAAAGTACACAGATAATAAAACTCAAATAGGCCCAGTTTATTTTTATGCCAAAAGTAAAAAATGAAGATTTTAATTATTCAATTTGACGCTTCTCACTCCTTCGGCCAACTAAAACAAATATTCCTCTTAAATGACCTTACATTTCCAAAAAATTCCACTATTTGCATTTCATCTAATTGTAACCTCCAGTCTCCCCTCCACTAATTTTAACCCATAAATTCTTTAAACCCATTTATGAACTGGATTAGAAAACTAGGACCCTTGCTGAGCCTTACAATCTTTGGGAAGTAAGAACCCTTGGACTTTCACTGAGTAGGTAGGCCAAAGCAATTGAAAATCAGAACTAAAGAGCAAACCACAAGCCTAACAACTCAAATACTCTCAAATGTCACCCCTCTTTTCAATTTTTTTATTATCAATTTACATGTGATATACTTGATGACAGTTCAAATCACCCGCACCAATATACAATCATTTTTCAAGGTAGAGCAGACGATTGATGGATTCTCAAATCTTAAGTCATTATATTTCACAATTCAAAATCAACAGCTACTAGTCTTTCTTTACCCACAATTTCATGTCAGTCACAGTCACTCATCAGCAACAACTTAATTATCAGCACCTTATAGTTCATGATATAGTTCCAGAGTTTTTAGCTAACATTTGAATAAAACCCACAAAATAGTAAAAACTTCAAATAAACATAGCTACATTAAGATACTAAACACTACCTCACACTCTGCTTTCCCAGGAAAATAAGAAAAAAATAAATAAAAAGATTTGAACTTTATGATTCATATATTTATTATCGTTTTTTCCAAAAGGTGAACACTCAATTATATCCAGACTTTAGCTTCTATACTTTACTCACATTCAACAAAAAAAAAAAAAAAAAATTACCCGAATTGACAATTAGCTATCCATATACACAACGAAGCATGAAAGCTTCAAAAACGAACAACAAGACTCCAAAATAGTTTGAAAATGAACTAGAACTTGATGAAAATTGAAGTTATAACACTGATTATTCCAAATTGAAGTATAGCGTTTCAAGCCCAGTAACAATTGAACATAATTACAACCAAACCCTAACATAAATCGTTGTTCATTGAGCACAAATCTGAACCGAAAAATTGGAAGCAAAGAAATGAAATGAAATGAAAACGTACCTCAAAATCGTGGAGAAGAACAAACCCACAAAATTCGAAGCCTAATCACGCGATAATAATATGCTAATAAATCAAGTGAAAAAAATAAAGAAATAGTAAAAGAAGAAACAGAAGGAAAGCAAAGTAAATATACCCAATTGGATTTAAAAAATTCAAAACAATTAAATCTATGCTTGAAGACACATTATTTCCAAAATCTTTGGATTCATTTTAATATAGTTATCTCCTAATTGTTGATGGAATATTTGTGTAAGGATTTTAAGGATTGATTAGTAGTAGCTTTCTATTATTAATTTAGGTATTTATTAAGGATACTGTAATATACTCAATCTCTAGTTTTTAATTATGCATTAATTGTTGAAATTATGGTGGGGAATTTTTTTTTAAATTTAGTGATAAAAAAATTATCAAATAATTATTTCAACTGAAAAAAAAAAGTTTCATAATCAAATAATAAATATTTTCAAAAAATGTATCAAACAACTATTCTATTTTAAAAAAATTTTAAAAAAAATATATCAAAAATTTATTTAATATTTTATCTAATTCTGATATAATTTTTAGATATTTTATCAAACACATTTTCAAAATCTCATCCGATTTGATTTAACTCAAATCAACTTAACTTAAAACATATTTCAGAATAACAATTTTTAAATAGTCTACCAACGACCAAATATTATTGTGGTAGTTGGTTTTAAGGTTTGAATCCAAAAATTTTAAAAAGAGAACAAACCTACCCTCTGATCAACCCCTTTAGGTTAACCAGATATTACTTACTTGGTGAACAAATATTATTAAATAGGGAATTTATTATAGGATACTACTAACCGGGTTATTTTAATATTAATTTTATATTTAATATTAAAATAATTCAAATATTAACTTCATTAGAATATTAATTTTACATTAAGATTGGAATTTTAATTAACTTGAATATTATATCAATAATTAATTAAAATATTAATAAAATTTATTGTCATTAGTTAGAGTGAATGGTGCACGGTGAATAACAGTTCAATCATTAAGCAATACTTACTAATATTTGTAGATGATTTGAATGATAATATTTTAGCGGAAGGACGATCATATTTTACACTATATTGAAATTTGAAAATGATACTTTATATAATATTGAATTTTCTTATATTATTAGTATTGTAAGAAGAAAAAAAAAATTATAACAATGCGTAGGATTATATATTTATTAAGCTTTTTATACATTTTAATATTTATGTGTTCTAGACTTTTAGGTATATGATTTAATATTTTAATATTTATAAGATCATATTTTATTTCATTGTTTAATTTGAAAAATAAAAAAGAATTGGTGAAAACTTTTAATGGATCAAGTTTGGGTAACTTAATAAAATAACATTGTTAAAAATAATGCTTTTAGTTCAGGTTGTCATATTAAGACCTAATAAGTTAACGGTTCAGATTTGGTTTAAAAAATTTTTAAACGATAAGAATACAACAAGATACGAAACTGTTTGAACACAATCCATTGACAAGTTTACACCCAATTTTCTGTTATAATTTTTTGATCCTCGAAAATGTGAAATACTTGTTTGTTTATGATTTTGCGGTTTATTTCGTGAAAGAACAAAAAAGTATAATTTTTTCTTAAAAAATGTCACCTTTCCTTTATGAATATGTTCTCTCTTCTAAAAGGAACCTATATGAAACTTAAATCTCAATTACTCTCTCCATATATATCATATATTCAAATTTAACTCTTTATTCAAATCAGATTAAATATCTATTTTTTATTATGATTTATTGTCAAACGTTATTTCAAATTACATTTTTATAATTTTTAAAAAAATTTGAATCAAATTAAAGACCTATTTTTGACTAAATTTTGTTGTCAAACGTTATTTAAAATTATATTTTTTAAAATTTAAAACTATTTAAATCAAATTAAAGATCTAGTTTTTTATTATGTTTTGACTTTGTTGTCAAACGTTATATCAAATTATATTTTTATTATTTTTAAAATACCATTTTCAAACAAATATGACCATCACATTTTCATTTTCTGTAAATCAATAATTTTCAATATTTTTAGTATTTTCAAAAAATACAAAATAAATTCATAAAATAACAGACTCGAATTTATCCGATATACTATCACAAATTCAATAGAATTTTAGATGTTATTTGCACATAGCGAGAGAAATTCATAAGGATTATCATACTTCTAAATTAAAGGAACATGAAATGGACAAATATATTATTAAACATTCATTTTGTACACCTTATGACAATATTGTGTTATCAACGACAGACTGATAAATAGAGATTGCTACCTAAAGAAATTTACAAATATAAATAATACATACCATAGCTTCATGGAATATGAATGCGGATAAACAAGGAATAAGAAGATCAGTAATAACATCTCAGAACATTACCTCTGGTCCCTCTTTGGACTATGCAATTGAAGGATCCTACCATGTTACTGACTCGGTAATATATAACGACCATTAAATCAACTTGGATTGAAATACACGAAATCAATCCGAGAGTTGTAGCAAGCACGATACCATTGCCGAAGCAGTAACACAGCACATCCTACAATTCAATGGAAATGGAAATAAATATGTCAAAACTTAAACGCATTCAAACCCGTTACACTCTGTTTTCAGATTTCTCCTGCTTTGTGTTGTTAAAAGGCAACGGGTTTCTTTACATTTGAGCCATCTTGGCACCTTCTCTTCGTTCTTCCTTAGCCTGGCAGCCAATGAACTAAGACCCCTCCTCATGTAACTCACCACAATTGTCAGAAGCTCCCTGCAGAATACAGTAGATATGACATAAGCAACTAGTTGAAAACCCGCATGATACAGGCTCCAAAAATACTTCCAACACCAACAAACAGACAAACAAATAACTTTACCGATGTGATATATATATGGTGATACCGGAAACTATGATAAATGAGTTTCATCTTTTACCAGACTAAACCAAAGCGTTAGGAGAGGCAATTTAATCATATCATACCAGCTTATACCGTCAACACCAGAATTAGAGAATTTAAGGATGAAAGGAAACACCAACAATTAAGGCTGGCCCATTAGAGGCGTGCAAGTTGTAACAAACAAACAAAAAACCTTACCTACTAATAGATGATTGTCATTTCACTTACCACGTAATTTACATTATGGAGTTCATTATTTTTAAGAATGTTACTAAAAAGCATGTATCACATCATACAAACAAACCTCAAATAAGAATGATATTATCGTTTCAGTAATAGGAGACAAGTTCATGACTATAAAGTTTTTATGTTGACCGATGCTAGATATCACCAACTCCTTGACTAGCACCACCCAACCCCTTAAAAAATTCTAAGAAAATGATTGAAATGTTTATTATGTCCCATGAAAAACAAATCTGAATATCACATGCTTAAAATATACTTCCGCCAATATTTTCTTGAAATTATAGAGCTTTTATGCTTAGGATAAATATAAAAAGCCAGATGTTTGCAGATATGGTTATCTTAAACCAAATTCACATGAGCAAACTAAGGCAAAAATAACCTTGACCCTCAGGGCAAATAACAGATCTGCTGAGTATTCTCCTAAACAGACCATTCTCTTCATCAATACTCAAGATTTTCATATATCTAAACATCAGAAAAAGGGCTGAACTGTTCCAAATTTATGATTCTAGCACAAAAAAAAAAGTGCTCAAAGACAGCTCTCGCATCTGATAAAAAACCCCCTACATAAAGGTTCCTGGCAAGAGAACTGACTTCCCTTAGACCCTCAAGCACAACACATTAATCAATGTTTATGACATCACATGAGCAAACTAAGGCAAAAATAACCTTGACCCTCGGGGCAAATAACAGATCTGCTGAGTATTCTCCTAAACAGACCATTCTCTTCATCAATACTCAAGATTTTCATATATCCAAACATCAGAAAAAGGGCTCAACTGTTCCAAATTTATGATTCTAGCACAAAAAAAAAAGTGCTCAAAGACAGCTCTCTGTCAGCATCTGATAAAAAACCCCCTACATAAAGGTTCCTAGCAAGAGAACTGACTTCCCTTAGACCCTCAAGCACAACACATTAATCAATGTTTATGACATCACCTTGAACAATTAATTTCAAACAGATTGAATCACCCTTCATCAATAGGGAAAAAAACTTCTATTTCCAGTCAATCCTTGGTTCTTAAGCAATTATGCATCAAAATCTAATTTCAGACAGACCCCAAAGGGCAGTTCTGAAATGGTTGCTTATCTTTAAATATCACAGAAACATTTGATGGGAGAGGACTTCAGGGGAATAAACTTCACTAAGATAGGAGGGATCTCTTCAAAATTAATAGGTTTTGAAGTAAAACATAAAAGGCAACGTTTGCCACCACCAGCGGCCAAAGTCAGTGATCTCCAATAATACAGTTGTAGAGTCCAGGGCTGCAAATCATATCCTCCAAGCCAAAAACCCCTTACCACAATGTGCATGACACATCCCAATTAAGGAAGAACTGATTTACCATCTTTCTAGTCTTTCTCCATATCAAAGCAATCAGAAAGAGGCAAGAATAGGCCTTTTCTCATGTAAATTATAACTGGTCCCCTTATCAACTCCTATCAAGACAAGACTTAGAGGCAACATCTACCATATCACTTTGGTGGGGTGAAAACCAATCAAATGATCAGAACAGAAGAATGGTTAGCCTAAGAAGATCCTACCATGGTCAAAATATTTAAAACTTATATATCCCAACTTAAAAATAGAGAGCTAAACATTGTGAAAAGAAGAAGAGGGAATGGCTCCTCTATTTTCAAATCATGGAAATAGTGAAGAAACTTAACAAATCTCTTAAGACTCAGTAACAATAAGGGGCAAATGGAAATCCTATCTAAGACAACATATTAAAGGTAAAATTTATTTTTTCAGACATCATATAGTCGTGATGGCACAAGAATCCAAATATAACAGGTTAATATTATAATTTACATGTGAAAAGAAGATCTATTCTGGCCAAATTCAACTGGATAGAAAAAAATCCAAACTTAACCATTCTACTTTAATTTATATTCTAAATTAATCCAGAAAAGTATGCTTTGGAGTTTTCTACAGTTGCAACTTTAAGTGTATATATTTTTTGTTCCCTTATATCATTTACTTCTTTTTTTCATTAGGAACTTTTATCTCATAAAGGATAAACAATATTAACAATGTCAATAAGTGGCTAAAAGCCACTCTAAACAAACTCAACCCTCCGCCTATAGCAGGTTGATTAACTTTCTGCTAAAATGTTGAGAAATATGCAGTCCTTAAAAGGTAAATTTATAACTTAATAGACAAGAAAGAAAAGTATGTTTTGTACTTACACTGGTGAGCAGGGAGAACGACCACCATTTACGTAGTAAACAAACAAGTATGAATCATAATGCTGACCACTGATCAAATAAAAACCATGCAACCTTCGCACACACTTGAATGACATTTTCTTGTACAAATGGATGGCCGGATTGTTATAAGATATCACATGCAAGTAAACTGCACGGCATGTTGGGATACTTGAAGAGTATTTCATGACCTCATGAATAAGTGAAGAAGCTGCAATTACGACATCAACCAAATTATTAGTTATGGGATGACAACAGTTTCAAGAAACATATCAATAAGAAAGCCCCTACCTATTCCAAGATTTCTATAAGATTCCAATACTCCCAATGTCAGAATGTAGACTAGGGTTTGATCTGATTTTGATGAGTCATAACTGAGCAAGTCTGCTATCTGCAAAGTAATGTTGATTCAAATGAATCCCAACAATGCAAGAAACATGATTGTCAGCAGAATACGCTTCTAACTAAGAAAATGAAGTGGAATAGTCAAGTAACCCACATATCGTTAGTTGGCACTTATTATAATATAAAATGATCAAGCATAAAGATTTTATACCAGTTTAATCAACCATAGAGGTTTCAATACTAGTATTGTCCTTTGAATGTCTATAAAGGATTTGGAATTAGATTTTCTCAAATTATTTAACATATTTCAACAAACCCACTTAGGATTAGGCGCATCCCATGATGCTACATAATGAGTATATGACTAGCATTCAGTACTGAGATAAAGAACCCACAAATTAGGTCAAAGGAATAAAAACAAGTCATCCTTACACACAAAGAGGACACACCTCACTTTCTCTAGCCATCACAATTCGTGCAGTAACAAATCCAATAAGTTCATCACTCTGTCCATCAGGTCGACTACGATCAACAGCTCCCCAAGACACAATATCACGTGAATTCACAACATTCTGAAAAAACTCAGACTCATACCTGAAGAGATGAGAGCTTATTCTTGAAAATGCAACATATACACTTTTTAGAACCCACAAGAAAGCAACAGAGTAGGTTATTTACCTAATTGGAAATAATTCAGCATGGAGTTGCTCTAAAATCAACAAATCTGAGGGTCTTATGGGCCTATAGCATATTGTTGGATGGCAGGCAACTTTTGGATCTATCATTGATAATGTTGTTCTTAATCCCCACCAAACGTAAGATATGTTTGGAGAAATTTTACATTAACTTCTCCTTCCATTTAAGCCACATCAGCCACAGCCGCCATGCACTAGTTGGTAGGAACTGTAAAAGGAACTTTACTTTTCATTAGATCATTATAATTATAGCAATAGCAATATGCATCCACAACGAACAGACAGAAATAAAAAATAAAAAAATGGAAAAAAGGGTGATCATGCTCAGAAACATTAAATCTGAAAGAGAAGGTCTGTAATGATTCAAAGAAGCTTCAAAAAGTTAAAAGATCTGATTGCATTGCTCCTCTTCTTCCATTTCCATAAACCTGGGCAACTTCTCTATTAGTTTCACGTATATAATGTGTTGTCTCGAAACAATAATACAATACTTGATTATTCAATGGCCTGTTAAATCTTCTGGACTCAGGTACTTGTGAGTTTCTAACTAACTAGTTCCAGTTTTCAATATATAACTTCAGCACAAAAACAGGGCATCGAGATAAAATAAAAGAAAAGGGATAATTCACAAATCTTTGAAAGAATACCCAAAAATATAAAGAACAAAACCTTGTTGACTTCAAGAATATCAAGAAACAACATATAAACTCAAACTGAGCTTAACTCAGCGTCTTTGAAGTCCCTTATTTATAGCATAAACTAAAGTTGAGTCCTAATAGAATAAAGAGCAATTGAAACTCAGACCTAAAGAGCAAACCACAAGCCTAACAACTCAAATACTCTCTCATGTCACCCTTCTTTTCAATTTTTTGATTATCAATTTACATAGTTTTGATATATTTGATGACAGTTCAAATCACCCACACCAATATACAATCATTTTTCAAGGTAGAGCAGACAACTGATGGATTCTCAAATCTTGTCATTATATTTCACAATTCAAAATCTACACCTACTAGTCTTTCTTTACCCACAATTTCATGTCAGCCACAGTCACTCATCACCAACAACTTAATTATCAGCACCTCATAGTTCATGATATAGTTCCAGAGTTTTTAGCAAACATTTGAATAAAACCCAAAAAATAGTAAAAACTTCAAAATCAAAATAGCTACATTAAGTTACTAAACACTGTCTCACTTCTCACACTCTGCTTTCCCAGGAACATAAGAAATAAATAAATAAAAAGATTTGAACTTTAAGATTCATATGTTTATTATTGTTTTTCCAAAAGGTGAAAACTCAATTATATCCAGACTATAGCTTCTATACTTTACCCACATTCAACAAACAAACAAAAAAGTTTACCCAAATTGACAATTAACTATCCATATACACAATGAAGCATGAAAGCATCAAATACGAACAGCAAGACTCCAAATAGCTTGAAAATGAACTAGAACTTGAGCTCAAATTGAAGCTATAACACTGATTATTCCAATTTGAGCTCAAATAGAAGTATAGCGTTTCAAGCCCAGTAACAATTGAAGATAATTACAGCCAAACCCTAACATGAATCGTTTTTCGTTGAGCACAAATCAGAACCGAAAAATTGGAAACTAAGAAATGAAATGAAACGAAAACATGCCTCAAAATCGTGGAGAAGAGCAAACCCACAAAATTCGAAGCCTAATCACGCGACAATAATGATGTTAATAAATCAAGGGAAAAATTAATAAAATAATAATAGAAGAAACAGAAGGAAAGCAAAGTAAATATACCCAATTGGGGATTCGTGAAGAGAATTGAGTGAGGAATGAAAAAAAGCGCTTCGTTGTTTGGGTTGAACTCTTCCTTCTTATATTTTTTTTTTTTCTCTTCAGTTTTGTATTGTGATGTCGTTAATAGTTTTGGGGTCCCGTTGTTAATTTCTTAAACTTGTGGGTTTTGAGGGTTATCAGAAAACTTGGGCTGTAAAATAATTAGAGCCCTAAAAGATCATCTAATTTCTTTGGCGCCCATAATTTTTGGAAAATATTGAAACCCCTACTAGGATCAATTAATTATCAAGAAGCCTCCTAAAATCGTTTTAGTTCAAAATTTAACTCCTTTAACAAGGTTATATACTTTATGAAAATAAATATTATCATTTAGAGGACGCTTAACACTAAAACACCGTTAATTTTAACTTGATTTCGTAAAAGATTTAAATACCATATATATAGCATATAGGAGTCACATTTCAAAAAATAATAATAATAATTATATATGTATAATTATATACGTTAAAAAATTCAAAACTACAAATGAAAATTATAATAAAATATAAAAAGTTTGAAACGTAGACTAGTGCTTAAGTGCCATTACTTGTTATAAGTGCCACAATTGGATGCCCCTAAATTAAATTTTTAAAACTTGTGTCCGTTTTATTATTTCAACAAAACATTATACCTAAATTGATAATATCTCTATATTATTCAAATAATTTAATTTCTAAAATACAAAGAATATATATATATATATTTAAAGACGGGTTATTTTAGAATGTAATAAAATAACTTTCATTTATTATCCATGTTAATATTATATTATAATAGCTACTAGTGTTGTCGGCAACTCAATAGCTATCATTTGGCAATCAAGAATCGACAATTGGCAATCGGTGACTCTCGGTGTAAACAACTCGCTCTAACACTCTCACTTGGTCACTTGAAGGCGACAGTCGACACTCACTCTCGATCTCTTCTCTAGGCACACACTTGACTAACTTAGTTGTAACGTCGAATGTTAGGGATTTAGGGATTTTAGTTATTTACATTTTAGACATTTTGGTAAAAACCAGTTTATAAAACTGGTTTTGGTTAATTGAATATTTGGGAGGGTCAAACCGTCAATCAAATAAAAAAAACTGGTTCATTAAGGACTCCTACACCAAGGAGGAAACTCAATCCAAGGGAATTTCCTTCACATTGTATAAAAGATGGTTTACATAAGGTTTCATTCATTCTCAATCACCCTATGTGAGATATAAACCTATTTATTACTTATTTTTGTCTAAAACACTATGCTGACTTGAGCGTTGAAGTGTCAATACTAACAAAACCGTCGGTGCACCCCTCACCTTCATTTTCTCTGTCGCAATGTAATCCAACTTCACAGTAAAGGCAATTCCAAAGTTTGTCCACATCATCAGTCAACTAGAAGTCAACCCTAGAAGGGACTTTTCAAGGATTTTGGCGTTTGATGCAAAATCATACATCAACAATTGGCCCCATCTATGGGGAGTCTTACATAAAGTCAATACAAAAGTTCTACAGAAAGTAATCTCTACTGACTAAATAGCAGTGATTGCTCATTCAACCAATTCTACTGATGGCTAGAATGCCAACAATGCAATGGATCCAAGAACCCAAAATCAGAGTCGCAATCAGACTTGAAATCCAATTCAAACGAAAGATCCAACAACTGCTCCCCATGTCTTCTAAGTAAAAAGTGCAACAAAATCTCAAAAACGGAGACATCATAATCCTTGCCTCTAGTGTAGAAGCCTTATTCCAACATATCCAAAACATGATGGGATGCAACCTTCAAGCTTTCAGAGACCTCATAACAAAGGTCCGCCCTACGAAGAAGAAGGCTGGAATCATTACTCTAGTAACTATTATTCTAATTTAGGCTCCAATTGAAGTATAGCGTTTCAAGCCTAGCAACAATTAAAGATAATTACAAACAAACCCTAACATAAATCGTTGTTCATTACGCATAAATCTTAACCAAAAAATTAGAAACTCATAAATGAAATGAAAACATACCAAAAAATCATGGAGAAGAACAAACCTACAAATTTTGAAGCCTAATCACGTGTAATAATGATGTTAATAAATCAACAAAAATAAGAAAAAGGGCAAGTGAAAAAAATAATGAAACTAGCCACCCTCTAATAAGAAAAAGGGCTAGTGTCCTTTTTCGTAATTAAATCTAAACTTTGGCTTTAAATATTCAACTTGGTCTCCATTCTGTCCAAGTTGGAAACTTGTTGCCCTCTAATTAGAGTTTGCATCACAGTGTAACTAGTTCTGATTCATTTTTCCCACGGATGGAGGAAATTGTCCCAAATTTCAAGCATTGTCTTCATTTTCAACTTGCTTTATCCAATCTTAAATTCATTCAAACAAATCTTCAAAAGATTTTAACAAAGAATTACTATCCTACTTCTCTACCGACATCCATCCAATCAATCAAATAGGTTGAAATAAATTCATCAAGCAACAACTCTCATACTAAGCCGTAAAAATGAAAAAAAAAAGTTATTTCTCTTATGTCTTACAATTTGGAAGATGATTATATTAAACAATTACGAGATATTGTTGTTGGTACGAATGAGTTTATTGCTAGAATGAATGAGAATATTGCTAGAATATAACAAGCTAAATTATTAAAATAGCAATTAGTAAGACAATGTCAAGTAGAGGAAGTGGGAGATGAATTTTATTTGAAAAAGGCTTATGTTGTGCAAATTGCACATGTTGGCTAATTAAAAAATATTGTTGGATTAAGCCCATTATTAAAGCCCAAGTATGACTTAAGAGGTGAGTTTATTCAAGCTCTTTAAAGGAATGGTGGAGATTTAGCCAAACGGCTAAATGATAGCCAAGCAAATAAGTGGTCATGGTTTGATCAAATTGCCACTTTATAGCCAAGTAAAATAAGTAGTGGAGAATTAGTCAAATGGCTAAATGAGTGGTCATGGTTTGACCAAGTGAAATAAGTTGTGAAAATTTAGTCAAGTGATCAAATGAGTGGTCATGAGTTGGCCAAGTGGTGGTTTTATGACCAAGTGAAATATGTGATTATGGTTCGCTCTTGAAGGCTATAAATAGGAGGCATTGGTTGTGGTTTTAAGCATCCCAAGGAGAAGGAAAAGATTTTCCTAAGGAAAAGAAAATTAGAAAGCTTTGTGTTAAGCTTTCAGTTAGAGAATTTGTGGAAAATTCTCTTGGGTGTAATTATCTTCTTTTGGGTATGAGAAAGTTTACTGAGAGTGTGAGTGATTTATAATCTTCTTCACATAATGAATTTTCTAAGGTTGTCTTTGCACACAACAGTGGTTTTTTCTTCAGTTTTAGAGTTTTTACTTAATTCTTGTGTTGTGAGATTGTGTTCTTAATTCTCCAAATTCTATTTCTCTATATTGTGTGACATTTATTCCTAACAAATGGTATCAGAACCAAGTTCTTGAGCAAAATTCAAGCATAAAATTTGATGTAGAGAAATTCATAGGAGAATCAGTTGGCCTTGGCATACAAGTCAAGGATGTTAATTCAACCTGGTTAAACAAGGTTTTGAAGGGGGACCAACCCTAGATACTAGCAAAGAAGGTTCGAAATCCAGTATGAGTGATGAAGATGGAAAGATCTTGATTTAAAAGCTGCAAGTGTGATCCCTTGTCTTTGGCCAGAATGTTCTTGCTAATGTGCAAGGAATTTCAACCGCCAAGGAACTTTGGGAGAAGCTGAAGGAATGTACCAAGAAAAGGCGTCTCTAATCGGTGTGTCTTAAGATCGGTTCATACTCTACATATGAATAAGACACAACTATTTCTTATCATTTAAGTGTCGTAAATGGTATTGTCCTAAACTGGAAGCCATTAGAATGAAGATGATGACGAGTATAATTGTGAGGCTTATCTAGTCTCTTCCACCTTCTTACGAACACATGAAGCCCATTTTGATTCATGGGAGGAAAAATTGTGTTCTCGAAAGTCATTGACAAATTTTTCTTTAAAGAGAAGAGGCTAAGTGGTGGATATAGTGTTCCACCTAAAAACTCGGCATTGGTGGTAGCCGAGTTGGAAGAAGAATAACTCCATGACAAAACTGTTTGCCAGGTGATGGACAATCTGGCACCTTAAAAGAATTGTCCAAAAGTTGGAGCTGATTCAGCAAGCAACTCAAGGTAAAAACTAACGGTGAAGCTAATTGTGTGTCTGGCTTTGGTGAGGTAAACATGTTGATATTCTTTGGAAGCGTTTGGTTCAGGGTGATATAAGATTAATCATGTAATCTTTGTTTATTTTCAAGATTCCCTCGTTTGGTTGTCAAGTAATAAAGTATTACGTAATCTTTTATTGAAATAGTGTTTACTGTTGTAATATTGGGTGTCAGATTACTTCCCAAGGGGTGTTAATTAAGATTACCGAGGTAATCTTAATTTTGACCCTATTTTGCCCTTAATATTTTATCATTTTGGATATATTTGCCCTCATAGTCTACCAATAACAATTCCCCAGACCCCCTACATTTGAGAATTTAGCTAAACCCCCGCAAAAAAAGTTTAAAAGTTAACAAAATACCCCCATTCATCCAAGACCATTGCCGGCCCTAGCCACCACCGCTGGCCACCGACGAAAGTCATCATATCGGCACAAGACCGCAGGATCTTGCTGGTCGTGTGCCAATAGGACATTTCCGCCATGGATTTCTATCCATGGCCGGAACACACCAGATCTGCCATTTCCCGGCCAAAGATGTGAAATGGCTGTGAAATGGCCAGATCTAGTCGTGAAACGACCATATTCACGGCCAATTTGGCCGATTAGGCTTGATCGGTATGACCAGCCAGATTCGACTGGTCGTGCGCCATCCACGGCTTCCGGTGGTGGTGGTGGCTGTCGGTGGTGGTTGGGTGAGGGGGTGATTTTGCTATAAATTAAAGTTGTATATGGTTGGGGTGTTTTAGTAAAATTTCAAATATAGGGGGTTAAAAGAAATATTTAAAAAATAATATATATATTATTATTTAAAATAAGGACAATTTAGTAATCTACATAACATACCCACTCATTTATCCTCAACAAACAATT